AAGAGAAAGTTCATAACTGATGTAAAAACAGATGAAGTATCACAATCTCTGGACACTAAGCAGGGAAAAATGCTTTGTGAAGTTGATATTGTACAGCAGTTGGTCACGGCCACCTTTTTCCTAGAGAGATGGAAACAGAAATTTCTCAGTAAGTTATCCTTGTTCTCTAAACACTTCCAGCAAAAGTTTGCATCCCAGCACGGCTGTTTGCATCTTAGAGCTTCATCTCTTTCCAGAACATCTTGAACGTACAGCAGCTGCCTTCTTTTACAGTTTGGACTTGCCTGACAAGTAAGATTTTAGCTCAGTGATATTTCTCAGAGTGATGATTTATACCTGAAGACCCTAAGAGAAAGAAGTTAGAAAATACCACTAAAAGCATCAAAGACAGAGGTTCTACATTGAAGATGGATGAACTGAAGAAAATGAGCAAGGATATAAAGCTGAACCATAAAAATAAAATCTAAATAGATAAAAACTATAAACTGAATCAGCTCTGATGAAGAAAGGCCTGAATAAAAAATAAACAAAAATTTTTTAAAAAGAATACAAATGCCTAAGAGTGCCTAGTTACATGGCCCAAAAGTATTTGATGTTGTACTGATCCCCACTGATCTCTCTTCCTAAATTTTCAACACCTGATTTGTAATTTTAATTCATCTCTCAAAATGTGACCATAAGCTCCCCATCACCCACCACCACATTATTGTTTTGTTCCAGACACTCAGACTCTATTCTTTTTTACCATCCAATTAATGGCTGACTTTGTTGGACCAAGCAGCACAGAGGACATATCACATGCCCCACAACTCAGCGTAACTCATATAACCTTAGGAGTTTGACAATTAGACTGTAAACAAAAATCTCAAATTTCACTCAAACCCAGATAAGATGTTTGTGTTTTCCTATCTCTACAATTTTCATCATGAAAACTTAGCCCTGAGAAACAGAAATAACCTTATAGATTTTGTTTTGGGTGTTGATTTTAAGTAAGCATAAGACAGAAGTCTAGAATCAGTTTTTATCTTCTATTTAAGGATGTCCATGTTTCTGTCTTTGTACATTTCCCAAGTACTTCCTTCCCAGTTCTTTTCAATGCCTCAAAGTTTACCTTATTTCCTAAATTTACATCCTTAAGAACTATGGCTTTAAAAGCAGTACCTAATTCACCATGAAATTTTCCCTATATTTAGTTTTGAACAAGCAGACCCTTGGATTGTAATATGAATATATAAAAGCTGTCCCATGAATTTTGAATACTCTATTTGTCATGAGCACTGGAAGAATTCATGTGTAAAAATAAAATAAAATAATGCTCAGAACTTCAAGGATGGGAACTGGAGGTGGTGTCATTCAAAGGTCCTTCTTAGCCTAACAGCTTTATCAGAACAGAGACTCAGAATCAACAAAAAAGAGGTTTTCAAGTTGACACAATTTGCAGGGCCAGAAGGTGTTAAGGGAGAAACCATATGTACAACAGGGAAAGTCAAACTGTTTCCAGAGAATAATCCCCAGAGCGTTTCCGTGGACTTTATGTAACCAAAAGGGTCTATTATAGCCATGCCCTTTTTCCCTAAGCTGAAAACTTTGTACAGTTTCATTGTTTAGGTTTTTGTATGTCAGGCACTGGGGGTGGGTTTGCGGGGGGTGGTCTCTTTCCTGAAAATAACTAGAAACATGGCTAGAACATTTTAATTGTTCGTGTTTGTGTAAATTTCACCACCCTATACCTGATGGAATTATAAAGATATTTTTATTTCTATACATATACTGTTTTCTCATGTTCCTCTAATATAAAAGCTCACTTGTATTTTCTTCCAGAGCAAAATTTTAGGTATTATTTTTTTTAGATGACAGGCTAGTTCCCCATGGTGATACTAAGAGAAGACTAGGAAATAAAGTATTGGGGTTAAAGAAATGAGGGGATTTTTTCCACCTACAAAGCTCCCAGTTTTGAATAAAAAGGGTGAATACATAAGCAGGTACAGTCAACTATACTGCTGGAAACCAGTGCCCCCTTTCTAATACCCGCCAAAATACACAAACCCTCAAAGATCACATTAGCAACTCTACATTGCAGATGTCACTTTTACTTTCCTTTTATCACATTTAGAAGTCATGGTTTTGAGTCACCAAACCAGCCAGCCACCAAAAAAAAAAAAAGTCATGGTAGATAAGAACTGCTTTTTGAGTGATGTACCTAAGTATCTTCCTTCTCACCTAGTGTTCACACCTTGGCAACTTAAAGCTTATGCACCACTGCCAACAGGAACCACCACATTATGAAGAGGTAAACCCAGCACAACAGTCCATTAATAAATGCTTACAGAATAGGGCTCGCCGGTTAGCTAGTTGGTTAGGGCATGGCGTTATAACACCAAGGTCAGGGGTTCAGATCCCCATACGGGCTGACCGCACCCCCCCCCCAAAAAAAAATGCTTACAGAATAAACAATGTAATTTTAGAACTTGAAGGGATCTTAGAGATTGTCTAGTTCAACCAATCAGCTTGGCCAAGGTTACACTGCTGGAGAAAATAAGAATCAATGTCCTCGGTCTCAGTACAGGGATATTTTCACTATTCCAGGACAACTAACCATCAATTGAAGAGAGAAAGTTTTCTCCTCTGTCCTTTATTTTCACTCCTAAATACCACTCCATGACCTTACCTCAATTTAGTGTTTCAGCTTGGGGATATTTCCAGCAAAATGACCTCAACTAAATCTATAGTGAACACTGTGCTGTCCATCCCCTTTTTAGAGGCTCTCCTATATCTGCTTTCATGGTATAGAGTTCTGCAGAGGTTTATTTTATTTCAAAGTTATTTCCTCAGCCTCCCACTGTCCTCTGATCACCCTGTTGTCCTCTTACTGCGGGTATTCCCAGGACTCCGTCTTCTACTCTGCTCTTCCATCTGCAGCCTCTCTGTGACTGGTTCCCATACCTTTAGCCATGACCTCTCTGAGCTCCAGGCTCATGTCTCCAGGTATTTCCTGAATATTTTTATGTTATCTCCTCAAACTCAGTATGTCCCCCCAAATCATTTCTCTTTCCACATATTTTACTTAACTTCCTAAGAGATCACATCTCACTCATGCAAGTTTAGAACTTTAGTCATCTGACTCCTCTTCTACCTTTTACCAGCCCTACTGATTTTTTCAAAATTCTTTCCGCTCCTTCTGAACACATCTTTCCTTCAGGTCTCACAAAAAAACTTTATAAACTAGGTTTTTATCAGCCTCCTAACCAGTCTCCCTACCTCCAACACATGTTCTTAAATATCTACTTCATACATTCATCTGCTGTTCAAAAAAAAAAACAAAAAAACTCACTTTTCTTAACCAGGACCTTCTTCTCTAAGCAGATGGTTCTACCCAATATTTTCCCATTGTACTTTCTTAGTCCTATGCCTGCTCACAATAAACCCCACAGCTAGAATGTAAATCCTAATCGCCAACTGTTCATACCCTGACTTCCCTGAGTGGTTCATGCAGAGTCTCCTCAATGAAGCTTTCTGTTACTGTTCTTCTGGCCCTGTGTGTTTTTTGTTCTTTATTTTATTTATTTATTTTTTTGGTGGCTGGCCAGTATGAGGATCTGAACCCTTGACCTTGGTATTACAATGCTGTGCTCTAATCAACTTAGCTAACCAGCCAGTCTCTGCTCTTCTTGAATTTACTATGCATACACCACTTTTTTTGGTGTTCAACTTCCAATCACTTTATATGTTAACTTTCTAAATATACCCATCTTGTCTCCTTGGTTTGGCTGTAGGAACAACCAAATCTTACATGTCTTTGTCACTTCTGAAACTAACCCAATATTATGTTAAGAACAAATGAGGCATAGTAGTTAAGAAAACATGATTAGGAGGTAAAAGACTCTGAGTTCAGATTCTGACTTTGCTCCTTTCCAGCTGGGTGACACTAGGCAAGTTACTTCACCTCTACAAGTTTTGAAATCTGTAAAACAGAGAAAATACCACCTACTTCAGAACACTGTTGCATAGTTCAGCAGAATGAGTACGTATGTGGATGAACACCCCCTACAGTGTTTAACATAGTATATGGTCCACAGTGAGTGCTTTTTTAACAGGTATTATGATTTTGCGCACAATAAGCACTCCTCTTTGTTCAATATTTTAAACTGCAAAGGTCATGCTAAATTTTTTCATGACATGCTGTCAAGATTCCATTTCACATGAAGTTTTATATCACTGATCACCATATTTAGTCAAAAATTACTTTTCTAAGCTACATTTCAGAAGAGTAGGAAAGACAACTTTCAACATGCAAGCTGTGCTCAGTTGACAAGACATGCTGTATAAAACTAAACCAATCAAGCATGATTTTCAGCAATTACAACTCTAATAATAGACTTAAAGCAAAACTAAAGAGTCTTTGGGAAGGCTAAAAAAGTTTCCAAACAGTCAAGCCAATGGATACAGATTTTGTGACATAGGATTGCTAGAGCCTGCAAAAACTGGAACACAATGATTAGCGAGTACAGCCAGGTTGTCCTGTGAAGGAAGGCACAAACTTTCAACCAACCAACAAGGCTACTGCCAAGTCTGATTAGTGGCTTTAAAAAATACAATGAAAATGCTCTGACATAGTACAGTTCATTAAAAGCCAAGTCCGGGCCTTCTGTTGGCTGAGGTGATTTTTCTTCCTAATGAAACAGACAGTCTTTTCTCTTTTGTGTGGCAGGTCACAACTTTTCCTAGGTTAAATCCTACTATATTTTTAAAAATCAGATACTACGCCTCCACAAAGGTTGCAGAAACTTTCCACCAGGAGCATCTACAATATCCCCAGGGAAGCTGCATCAGAGCAGAGAAAACTGACGCCACTGCCTCCCGATGAGTCACCTTGGACCTCCCACAAGGATGAGCAGCCACAGGGCCAGTCTCTCTCCGCGCTACTATCCAAACTGCCTCGCTTCGAAGACCCCAGCCTCATCATTTCTGCACCTCTAGGCAGGCAAGTCCCATGCTCTTACCGCAGATGTTAGACGGGCAAGAATTTCCTCACTGCTTTCTTCGGAGTCTTCAATTTTCTGATGAGACCTTGGAAAAACAAACAAATTACTCTTCAGCTTTGGTTGCTCAAATTTTTCTACTAAGTCATGGAGAATAAAGAGCAAATAATGGTATTATCATGATTATATTAGAGAAAATACCCACAAAAATAAACTTGTCAGTAATGCTAGAGAAACACAATCCCGCTGCAGGAAAAACATTCCTTCAAAATCAATTAGCAAGAACCTCCTCACAAAGCACCAGTTGAACCTTAAGGATTGAGAATTCTCCAAATAATATGAGAGAATAACCCTAACACACCAGATTTACATATATGGGCATGCACAAAAGCAGATGCCAATATAAGGTGGTAGAGTGCTGAAATTCCCTCTAAATCTCTATGAGATCCAGATTTTAAAAATAGAAAATGTGAATTTTCCACTATACTTAAAGTTCAGTCAAAACAGATTAACTGTGAAATAGTATATTATAAGACTAATATCATGATGGGAATTATGAAGAAATACAAAAGGCAGGAGAACTTTGATTTTTCAAAAGACCAAAAAAATTATGCATATTTTAATAACGAGGCATAGTATAAAAGCAGTTCAAGAAAAGTCAACTCTTTAACTTAATTCATGAAAAATTCTTGCCACACAAATGAATATACAAACATTAAAATTATCTGGTTCTTAAGAAAAATCTTATAAACTGCATTTTTTCCCTGGTTTGGCCAAAGAAAAAAATTTGACTAATGCCAAATGAATATATAAAATTGCCTCCCAGATCTATTTCCACAAGCAATCCCTTTCAACACATCTGTGAACGTGGAGAGATTCGATGTAATTGCCCTGCAAAGCGATGTTATCAGAATCGCAGTCTAGTGATTGATTTCCATCTTGGTAACTGCGGCTGGCCAGCTGGAGCGCCAGCCTTGCCGGGCAGGGGAGCTAAGCAGCAGCTCTTTAAGAAGGGAAAAGCTAGCCGGATCAATTCTAGCATTCGCTTCTTGTTTCTATAAATGTTATTAAACCCTTTCCCAGGAAAAAAAAGTCACACCCTTTAAATCAGAGCAATGAATTACAAACCACTGCCTTTAGAGGAATTGCAAGACACAGGTAGGAAGTAGTGCTGATGTTGTCAAATTACCTAATTACTTAGGAAGTACAGCATTTAAAATGCTTGCTAACAAACTGTCCAATAAGAACAGTGGGAATGGAGCATTAAAACTTACCATATTAAAAAAAAATAAAGTTACCTGGATAATGAGTATTTTAAACAATGAGCTTTATTATTAAAATTCTCTATTCATAAAGCTTCTGTGTAAGTGAAATTATACTGAGAAGAGATTTGAAAACCTGTATAACCTAAGCCACCAAACCAGGTTTATGTGATTAAGCTGAGGTGACTGAACAGATCTGACAGGAAATTAAGAGCCAAATGCACAGATGCAAGAGACCAAACAAGCGCTTCTGCAGCTTCGTCTGTCTCTGCACTGAGGCGTGGGCTGCTCGTGCCTCTTCATGTCTCTCAGAGCCCAGCAGATACCTGAAGAATTAGTTAACAGGCACGAGGTATTTTGCACTAGCATTGATTCTGTCATGGATCGGTTTTCAATAAACTGCTGAGAGGAACTCAGAATTCCAAGGGAGCTCTTGTGTATATTACTGATAACGGCGATTTCATGAGTAATGGCTGAGCTGCTGCTGTATTAGTGACAAATAATTTAGTCCCTGTTCAGAAACAAAACCATCTTTCATCATTCTTCCAGCACAAAATACGCCCTGGCAAAAACCCTTCTAAAGGCAACATGTGTGATAGAGACAGCGACATCGTCTGAGAGCCGCCCGCAGGCCAGGTCCCACTTTGATCACCTCGATCACCAGGATTTACACCCAGATCGCCCATGTCTTTCTTAATCTCCCAAGCTTGCCATATTTTTTCCATCTGCCTTCAAAGTGGCTCTATCTAGATGGCAATTCCAGGAACTTTACTTCCACGCACATGGTAATCTTGTAGGCTCCTGGAATTCAGCTTAAGTCATACTGAACCCCTCTTGCCCCCTGCCAGCATCATCTCTACTAGCACCTCTCAGGACAGGACGAGTGGAGTCCTGGTCACCCTGTGGCCATTCCCTCCCTCTTGCACTCTCCACCACAGGTTGGTCATCAAATACTCTCACTTTGCTTCCTCAAGCTCTGCTTTCCTTTGGTCCCTCCCCACCAAGCCTCTCTGACAGTCAAGGCCCTCAACTTCTCTTGCACAAGTTATTTTAACCACTTTATGACCTACTTCTTTGTCTCTGGTTTCTCTTCATCTACCCAGTCTCCCACAGACCAGGATTGCCTTGCTAAAACCCCGATCTGATCCTGCTATTCCCAGACTCCAAACCTTTAAGTACTATCCCCCCTGCCTGAGAGCTCCAGAATTCAGAAAAACTCTTCCTTCCCTGCTAAAGTGCCCCACGTCCCCTTGCACCAGCAAGCACCCGCGTCCCACCTGGCTTGTGAAGGAGGTCGTGGGAGCAGGGCTGGTGGTGACGGGCAAACAGTGGAAGAGCTTGACAACAGAAAAGAAGAGAGGAGGGCAGCTCTCACCACTCTCCTTCTACCTTCACCACTGGAGTCACTTTTTCCTTACACCCACTCCCCAGCTCTCAGCCACAATACACACAAATAACACTCTTTCCCCAGCAAATGTACTTTCCCAAAATGTAGGAAAATTCTGATTTTGTGCATGTAAATATGCATCAGTGCAACCCAGGAAAGACAACGTTCTCACTTATGAGATAAAAACAGATAGTAAAACAGAAGGGGTCGAGGAGAATCGAGTGTAATGCTTGCATATTTTCCATTATTATTGGGGCCATGCTGCTCTGAAGAGAGAAGTGGTGGGTCTGGTTTATCAGTAACTGGAGAAGCAAAACAAAGAAATTCTGGCGGAATCAGCAGGTAATTCAGTGACAAGTGACTTAAGACAGAAAGAGAAGGGAATGGGAGTGACCCCAAGAAGGAAGATACATCCCTGAGGGTTTGTGCCAGCAGGAAGCTCTAGGCTAACAGGTACTCCCCTTTAGGAATTCCTGTGATTACTTCCCAGCCCAAGCCAGATCTGGTAATTCTCCAAGGGAAAGTGCTGAGTCTGGGGGCTGTAGTAGAAGTCTTTATAAATTTGAGAGGTCTGCAATATCCAGGGTACCATTGTGAGGATACAGGAACAGCAAATCCTATGGTTCTCTCCCCTTGTCTCTCTAACCGCCAAACTGGACACATTATCATTCTACCTATGCCCCACACAAAAGGAAAATAAAACAAAAGGCCTTGCTTGTCTTACAGTCTTTCATTACAGTTGGAAGTCATCCCCACCTCTCTCATACCTCACACTGTATCCATCCTGAAATCTTACTGGCTCTTCCTTCAAAGCATATCTCCCATTTGACTACTTCCCACCACCTCCAACACTACCATTGTGGTCCCAGCTATAACATCTCTCACCTGGACACAGGAGCCAGCGTGGTCTTTCTAAAATGTAAGTTAGACCATGTCCCTCCTCTGTTCAAAACCCTTGAATGACTCCCCATCTCACTCAGCATGAAGAAGTCTTTTTGTATTTAAAAATATCCAATTAACAGAAACTGTATATATTCAAGGTATACAATGTAAGGATTTATGTATATACTATGTAGTGATTATCACAATCAAATACACATCCACCCCCACCCATGCTGTACCTGAGATGCCTGGAACTTATTCAACGTCCAACTGAAAGTGTACCCTTTGATCAACATCTCCCCATTTCCCCCAACCATAATGTCTATATTCTGGACAGGTCTGTTCTGCTTAACAAAGCAAATTCCTATAAAAAATAAATAAAAATGGGATGGGAGAAGAATGAGAATTAGATTTATCTTGAGATCTTAGATATCATGAATACAAACACTTGTTCACATTCTCAAGCAAAGATTTTTCATAGCAACAGGCCACTAGTTATGCTTACAGAGGAGATTTACCAAGTGATAGTAAACTGTGAATATGACAGGTTTCATTAAGGACCCAGGGTACATAGCTACTCACTAATCTAAAACTGGATAAGATTAGATATTACTGGGCCGGCCCGGTGGCGCACTGGAGAGTGCACCGCTTGGGAGCGCGATGGCACTCCCGCTGAGGGTTTGGATCCCATGTGGAGACTGGTTCCCGCTCACTGGTTGAGCGCAGTGGGGGCGCAACACCGAGAGTTGCGATCCCGTTACCAGTCAGTAAAAAAGACAAAAAAGGAAAAAAAAAAGATTAGATATTACTGACATCTCTTTTTTATATTTTATTTTGAGGATGTGAGGATTAATGCTTAATATTTAATTAAACAGCTGCATTTCAAAACTAACATAACCAGGCCTGAAAGTTCAATTTTTTTTTTTTTCCCCTTTTTGTCTTTTTTCGTGTCCGGCAACGGATCGCAACCCTCAGTGTCGCGCCAGCACGGGACCGGACCAGCAACGGGATCGCAACCCTCAGTGTTGCGCCCGCACCTCGCTCAGCCAGTGAGCGGGAACCGGTCTGTATGTGGGATCCGAACCCTCGGAGGGAGCGACGCCGCGCTCCCAAGCGGCGCACTGTAGCAGTGCGCCACCGGGCCGGCCCCTGAAAGTTCAATTTTTGCAATTCCTTTACTACTCTGAAATAGAGATGCACTCTGATAAAGATAAGCAATCTGCCACACCTGCAATAAGCTTTCTCTGTAAACAATGGAAATTTTGGAGGACTCAGTGTTTCCTTGGGGGAGAGGGTAATGAGTAATAACAAAGACTAGTTGATTTCATAATATTTTTTATAAAAACAATTTAAAGTGATAAATGGAAATTTTTTTCACCTATGATCCAAATGCAAAACTTATGCCAAGTTCCAAAATGAAAAATGTTTAATACTCAAAAAATGTTTGTTTAAAAAAGTGCTTGAAAAAAACTCAAAAAATATTGTATTTTCTCCTCTTCAAGTGTCATGAGAATCCAATTAGGAAAAGTCAGGTGGACAAGGGGTAGGTTTGGCACA